CGCACGCGATGACGCTTCCTCCTCTTTACCCCCCCCCCGTTTCAGCCTTTCCCTCGGCATTGATTGCAGAACGCAACTACTATACCTACTATCATCAATGCAAAACATAGTAAAACAACGTAACACAACGTAAAACAATGTAAAACAATATAAAACAACGTAAAAACAATGTATAACAACGTAGACCAACGTAATACTGTTTTAAACAACAACGTGAGACATATCAAAACGAAGCAAAGAAAGACAACATTAAACTACGTCAATCTTCAACGCTAAACAAACTAAAACAAAGAAAAACAACGTAAGGCAATGTAAAACAATATAAAAGAATGTAAAAACAATGTATAACAACGTAAAAAAATGTAATACTGTTTTAGGCAACAACCCATAACAAAGCAAACATCGTAAAGCAACGTAAAACAATATAAACCAACGTAAAAACAGTGTATAACAACGTAGAAAACGAGAAACAACGACAACGAGAAACAAAGCAAAGACCGTAAAGCATCGTAAAACATCGTAAATCGTCAATGCGAAACGAAGAAAAACGACGTAACACAACGCAAAGCAATGTAAAGCAACATAAAACAACGTAAAAACGATGTGTAACAACATAGAACAACGTAATACTGTTTTAATCAACAACGTGAGGCAACGTAAAACAACGTACAGCAATGTAAAACAACGTAAAAACAAATAAAAACAATGTAAAACAACGTAAATCATCAATGCGAAACAAAGCAAAATAACGTAACACAACGCAAAACAATGTAAAACAATATAATACGTCGTAAAAAAAAATGTATAATAACGTAAAACAACGTAATACTGTTTTAAACGACAACGCGAAACAAAGCAAAGAACGTAAACCATCGTGAAACAACCTAAATCATCAATGCGAAACAAAGGAAAACATCGTAATACAACATAAAGCTATGTAAAACAGTATAAAGCAACATCAAAACAATGTATAACAACGTAAAACAACGTGATACTGTTTTAAACAACAACGCGAAACAAACAAAAGAACGTAAAGCGTCGTAAATCAAGCAAAATCATGAATGCGAAAAAAAACAAGGTAAAGCAACTTAAAACAACGTAAAAACAATGTATAACAACGTAAAACAATGTAATTCTGTTCTAAACAACCATGCGAGACAAAGCAAAAAACGTAAAGCATCGTAAAACAACGTAAATCATCAATGTGACACAAAGAAAAACAACGTAACACAACGCAAAGCAATATAAAACAACGTATAACAACGTAAAAAGAATATATAACAACGATGAACAATGTAATACTGTTTTAGACAACAACCCGTAACAAAGCAAACAATGTAATACATCGTAAAACATCGCAAATCATCAATGCGAAACAAAGAAAAACAAGATAAAACGTAAATCATTAATGCGGAATAAAATAAAACAACGTGACACGACGTAAAGCAATGCAAAGCACTATAAAACAACATAAAAACAATGTATAAGAACGTAAAATAACGTAATACTGTTTCAAACAAGAACGCGAAGCAAAGCAAACAACGTAAATTATCGTAAAACTATTATCGTAAATTATTACTGCGAAACAAAGTAAAACAACGTAACACAAAGTAAAGCAATGTAAAACAATAAAAAGCAACATAAAACAAAGTAAAACAACCTACAACAACGTAATACTGTTTTAAAGGACAACGTGAGACAACGTAAAGCAACGTAAAGCAAGGTAAAGTAACGTAAAGCACCGTAAAAACAAAGCAAAACAACGTAAAGCAACGTAAATCATCAATGCGAAACAAAGAAACTGTTCCGTTCTGTAGGACCTCCCGTAGGCCGCTTTCGCGAAAGTTTATGGCGTGGACCAGCGAGGATCATAAAGAGACGGAAACCTTTTTTCCATCTGCAGAACATCGGTGCAGGGTCTTCCGTCTCTTTAATGACCGCGACGCGTCGTAGGCACGAAAGGTCCGAAAAAACAACCCCGTCGTAAATTTGAGAATTTAACGGGTCTTGAGAAAGTTTAGTCCCAACCGTCGCGGGGACGATATCTCAGGCCCCAGGGGACCTCCCGACCACGCAACTACGCAACACCCCCCTCTCCTAGACAAGGCTCGTGTAGGACGATACGAGAGGGTGGTGACGAAAAGCTTAGAGGACACTGATTGGAAAATCGCAATCTTCGAGAAAAACCAATCAGTGCGTCCCGGCGTGGAGGTGG